ACAAGTGCTACTCTACACTGCTCAAAACTCGCGTTTGAATCGTCAGTGGCAAATTCTTTAAATATAAAAAAACTTACTTGCAGTCTTTGAGTCAGAACAGCCGGCATTGTAGTCTACTCTCCCAGGATCAGGAAACAGTCCTCCATAAACAGTGTTGTAAATACAACTTAACCACTGATTTCTAGTCGTGTCCTCTTTTGGAAGGCCAAACAAAGTAGTTTCGCTTTCACAACGAAACAGCGTCACACACCGCGGCCTTGAGTGAGCGGAGGCCGCGGGGCCTAGAGTGAGCGGAGGCCGGCTTGAGTGAGCGGATATCGTCCTCTTTTGGAAGGCCAAACAAAGTAGTTTCGCTTTCACAACGAAACACCCAGCATCTTCACGACATGGCGGCAGCAACAATACCACAGCGAATAAAAGTTACGCCTTCTTTCTTTGTGTGAACATTTGGGCGGCGTTATGCAAATCTTCCCACATCGGAACGTAGACATGTGGGGGCGTGTGTTAGAACGAGCCGTTTTAGGTAGGAGTGGCTGACTTAACTTTTATAAAGAATATCTCTTTGGATTTGAGACTTTAGTCTTTGCAACTTTACAGATCTTCTTTATGCACCAAGAGCTTGTAACACTTCAAAGAGAAAGGAAAAATTGAAATCGCATCATATGACCCCTTTAAGACCAAACCACAAACTATTCCTAAAATGACTGTTGCCGACAATCTGACTCGGAACGTAAACATTTAGAAGTATTTGACGGTTTTGAAGGTTATCCCAACTCCAAATTTTCCTTTGGTTATGTCCTTGTTTTCATTAACCAGTTGGGCAAGTAACAGCTGCTTGTGTCCAGTTTGGTTTTCTTTTACGTTTGCATGTATTACTATCAGCCATGATTATTCTACTCTGTTTATTTAAAGGCTGTTTATATGCATATTCACTAATATTGAGAAGCATACATGTAAGAGGCTGACAATTAGCTGAACACGTTTATTATAGTGACACTTAGCCTGCATTTTAAAATCTTTATTTGAATGTGGCAACATTTTTATTTTGAAACCTTTATCTTTACTCTAGATTATTTCTATGTATAAATCTCTGCAGAGACTATCAGCCAATCACTGGGCATAGTTAGTAAGCATGCTGACATCATCCATAGCAACGAGGTCAACCCTGCCTTTACTCTTAGCTTAAGACTTCTCTCTATTCCTTAGTAAAAGTTTTTCTCAGCAGCTTTGTGAATAGATTTTAAGAGAAAACTGCTAAAAACTTTTACTGCTATTTAGGAGAACTCTTAGTTGTAAGATAAAATGGTTTGTGAATACGGGCCCAGATTCTTACCTATTTCTCCTTGTTGATTTTCAGAGACTCGAATCACTTGATTTTGACCAAAAAGAGTCTTTCATATTCTGATTCGTTTGTTGATGTTACATTTATGCTAGTAGGTGGCGACAAATGAGCCATCAAAACAGACATTATCCTTTGTTAAACATTTGCTTGTCTACAAATGTCAACTAATGGTTTTCCTAACAAATGACAACAAAATAGATCTATTTTTGCTTATTCATGAATGTAATAAACACAGACTAGTTTCGGATAATTCTGGGGTGGCAATGCATTTTCTTAGTGTGGCAGTTGCCACTCAACGCCACACCAGTAGATCTGCCCCTAGCTGTACTTAAAAACATTAGAAGTCAATGTCCTCTTTTAGATGTAAGTGTGTGTTTGCTGTTGAATTGAAACAATGTGAATTTACACCACTTTAACATTTTATTTAGAAGTTGTTAAAATAGACAGAGCATGGAGGAGTAGTGATCACATTGTGGCTGTGGGCTTGCCCCATCCACTTCTCTCCTGGAATATTAAAAAAAAAGAGAATGAATGGACAATGAACAGTACATCACCAACAATTTTATGATTTAAATCATGATACAGCACAACAAATTATCAAGAAAATTGTATGGTAAATATAGGAATATAATAATAATAAACTCAAATCTGAGTATTAATAAACAGAACACTTGTTGACCTGTGATTTTCAGTTGTCCATGATGTCAGTTTTTTTAAATCTTAAATCTGTAGTCAGTTTTTCCATGTCCATGTCATTGTAGTGCTAAATATAAACTATGACTGGAAAGTGATGTAGACAAATTAGCATAGAATATTTAATAACAAAGCATGAATAACATACTTGCTTATCTTGCAAGAGAATAATTTAAATTTTTTATTATTATTATCTTGACAGTAACTGGAATAGCCTTTATAAAAATAAAAATGTCAACCTGTTATTTTCTTTATAAGAGAAAGAAAACAAATGTCTTGCATTGCGCATTATAAATCTGTTCATAAGAACCATCTGAGAGAAACGGTGGCTTGAATACCTTTCTCAGAAAGGCTTGAAGATGAAAACATAGGGACTCCAAAATACTCAGACAGCAGCTTCAGATCTGAGACCATGTACAGAAGTTTACTAGGGTTCAATCCAAGGGGGCGGTTACCTAGGGAAAGAACAAACTTGATAAGGGTTTCAGCCTTCATCTATAAATAAAACAAATGTTCACATATAGTTGACAACTGTGCATTACAAATTATACTTAAGCGGTTAGAAGAGAGCTTCACATTTAGTACATATATACTTATGAAAAAAAGTGATTAAATAACTACATAAAGGAATACATTTACTGTCTGGAATATATAAAAAGCTATGACCATTAATGTGACATATGTATTTAGATTAGTTGTGATCATGTAATTTCCCCATTACCTGAGCCGTATACAACTTACTAAATATGCGGGTTTGAATTTGAGGTTGATGTTCCAAACATTTCTATAGCGACACAGCACCTTAAAACACAAACACACACACACACAAATCAACACATGCATGATATTGACACTGCATTAGTACAGATGGCATGGCAATGAAATATACTAAGGGGCGAAAAACATTACGCACCTCAAATGCCAGCCAGGAATTAGGAGAAGCAACATCATAAAAGAACTCAATAATTTTTGAGCTCCTCAAGTTTCTCTAGGATGTTCAGACACCAGGCACAACTCCTGGCTCAATCAATGTCCATTAAACACAGTAAAAGAGGGCGTGCAGGTTTACCTTTCATCCACTGTTTATGGTTTAGAATGAAAACGGTTTCATCAGCACTTGCATTCAGTGTCTGACAGCTGATGGTTTTAAGTAGGACTTCAAAAAGTCCATAGTAGGAATGCACAATTCAACATTCGGGTGCATCACTAACCAGTTAAAATCGGTTAATCAGCAAGTCATAAATAAATATGATAAAAAGTGATCAAACATGACAAAATAGGTCTTTACTGGCTAAAACTATAGACCATGCTAATTGTTTATATTTAACACAGAATAATATTTTAAGGTTTAACACATTATCAGACATGGACTAAATATTTTACACCCTAGGTAAATAAAGTCAATAATTTTTTAATTGTAAAAAATTTTAAACATTTTCTGGTAGTGTGGGGTTAGGTTATAGTATTTATAACTAGCTCAATACAGGAACAGATATAGAAAATTATTAATAGGGTGGCATGAGGGTGGCATGATGACTCTGAGGTGTGCCAACACTAAAGCAAGTGCATGTGGTCAATGTGTCATGTGGATTTCTGGTCTGATATACACATCTGTGTGCATGAAGAACAGTAGCATTACCATAAAGTAATCTATATTGTTTAAAAACAATAAAAAATTTATATCAAAATATAAATACCCAGGGCACCAAGACGTTGGCTATTAAATCAACATATTCTAAATGTCTCTGAGCTTGTAACTGTAGGTCTATCATTAATGCAAACAGAAGACTATTTTATTAATGCACAGGCTGCTCAGATGAATCACATATTTTAGTTTGAGAGCAACAAACACTTCTGTCTTACGTGGACATTATGGAAGGTCACCCAGAACACCCTAGCAACCATATAGCAAAACCCTAGCAACTGCCTACCATCTCTCTCTCTCGCTCTCTCTCACTCTCTCCAAGTCTCCTTTTACTAGGCAAGGCCTTTATCGAGCCAACATAGTTTATCAAGTTAAGATTAGATTCTTACCTATTTATCCTTGTTGATTTTCAGAGACTCGATTCATTTGATTCAGACCAAAAAGAGTCTTTCCGATTCTGATTCTGTCACGGTTATGTTCTGTTCATGGACTTTGAGTTTGTTTTCATTCATCCCATGTGTTCCTTTGACCTACTTTCTGTTTCCCCCTTGATTATTATCAAGTCATTTAGTCACTCTCTTGTCTGTGTATTTAAGTTCCCTCCTCAGTTCCTTTGGTTGTCGGTTATTGTTGAATGTTATCCTGTGTGTTAGAACCTCTTCATCTTGTGGATTACCATTAAAAGGATTTGTTTATATGATCTTTGTTATCGTCTTCATCATCTTCCTAGCAGCAGTGTGACAGATTTGTTTGTTGATGTTACATTTATGCCAGTAGGTGGCGACAAATGAGCCATCAAAACAGGCATTGTTATCCTTTGTTAAAATTAGCTTGTCTATAAATGTCAATTAATGGTTTTCCTAACAGATGACAACAAAATAAATCTATTTTTGCTTATTCATGAATGTAATAAACACAGACTAGTTTGGGATAATTCTGGGGTGGCAATGCATTTTCTTAGGGTGGCAGTTGCCACTCAACGCCACACCAGTAGATCTGCCCCTAGCTGTACTTAAAAACATTACAAGTCAATGTCCTCTTTTAGATGTAAGTGTGTGTGTTTGCTGTTGAATTGAAACAATGTGAATTTACACCACTTTAACATTTTATTTAGAAGTTGTTAAAATAGACAGAGCATGGAGGAGTAGTGATCACATTGTGGCTGTGGGCTTGTTAGGGTGAGGCCCCATCCACTTCTCTCCTGGAATATAAAAGAAAGAGAATGAATGAATGAACAATGAACAATACATCACAGTACACTCACATTGACCCGCTTTGAAACGGCAACATTAAAGGTACAATATGTAATTTTCGCCGCTAGAGGGCGCGTATTCAAAATAAACAAAGAACCAAATGCGTAGTTTGATGACGCCGTGACTGAGTGTGGAGTCATGGGAGTTGTCGTCTTCATCCCCACAGCCGATGCAATCCGACGGGACTCGGGCAGAAATCATGTTCATGGATGAGCTAATGATTTATTAACATAGTAGAATGAAGCAGGGTGAGGCTGAAAGCCGTCGAAGCAAAACGAGGCCGCTGAACGAGCGTGACACACGGCTTGAAAGCAGCGGAGCTTTTATTATGTCACAGTCGACCGCTTCCACTCCTTCCGGTATGTGGGGAAAAAAGCAGCGCTGTTTTATCATACTAGATACATTTGAAAGTTCTGTTATAATGCTACTCTGTGCGGTCGGTCCATGTCACTAGTTGAAATTGCTTATTTCTCTGGATGTAAACATTTTTCGAAACATTTGGGATAATGTAAGTACACAAGTCAGCAAAATATATAACACTGTTCTAGTGGCTTTTGGATATTTTAATAAAAAAATCTGACATATTGTGCCTTTAATTGGTTTAATTGCAGGTGAGTGACAATTCAACTATACCAATGAACAATGAGGCTAGTATTTTGCTGCCTGTCTTGACTGGTGGACTTGCGTATAGGGGATGTTACGGTTATGGAGGCCCCGCCTTAAAGCCCGAGGCCCTAGGCAATATGCGACCCTGCCTGGACCACAAAACCAGTCTTAAGTCGCTGGGGTATATTTGTAGCAATAGCCAAAAATACATTGTATGGGGTCAAAATTATAGATTTTTCTTTTATGCCAAAAATCATTAGGATATGCCAAAGTAAAGATCATGTTCCAAGAAGATATTTTGTAAATGTCCTACTGTAAATATATTAAAACATCATTTTTGATTTGTAATATGCATGGCTAAGAACTTAATTTGGACAACTTTAAAGGCGATTTTCTCAATATTTTGATTTTTTTTGCACCCTCAGATTCCAGATTTTTAAATTGTGGTATCTCTGCCAAATATTGCCCTATCATAACAATATATCCATATATCAATGGAAAGCTTATTTATTCAGCTTTCAGATGATGTATAAATCTCAATTTCGAAAAATTGACCCTTATGACTGGTTTTGTGGTCCAGGGTCACATATAGCTGCTCCGCCTATAGGTAGCGCCGACCCTGCGCACATCATAAATCCGTCTTTTTGGCAAGTACCAGATAGTCTATGGGAGTAATGTAATAAAATATCTTTAATACAACTGAATTTGTATTTAACATTATCACAATTTAATAAAAGCAAACTACTAATTATAAAGCTTTCATTTCCATGGTTATTCAAACAGGGAATAAATACATAATGTGAGCAAAGAACCTTCACTTTATCAAAGAACATTATCACTGACTTCAGTCTAGCCTGAGTTTAAGCACTCTCAAAAAAAAAAAAAAAACTCTTGTTATAATCAATGAATCTGTATATACTGTGAAATTAATCTCTTAAATTCTACGTACATCTGCACTTTGTTGTTTATCAGAGAACTGGCAAGAGTGCAGAATTCAGTCAGCGCATGCAAGCACTGAGCAAAACTCTGGTGTTTCAGCGATGACTCATCTGAACGAGTCTGATTGACCATTGCATTCATAAGATCAACAGAATCGTGTGTGATCGGTTACAATGCTCAACGCTGTTAAACGTGTAAAAAATAAGACGCAACATGAGCAGATCTAAATTGAATGCCACAGTCAACACTTTCTTATTTAATTTTCACTTTATTCGCGACAGCCGTGATAGATTTGTTTTAACTGCACAGGGGCATTTTTTAAAATAGGTTAAATTTTTTTGCACCCAAAATTGTTTGGTGCGATACCATTCCAAATTTAGGGGGCCCCCGCACATTTATTGTTACTCACTCCAGACACAAGTATAAAGTCTTTGCATACATATATGAAATTTATGAAATGTTCACACACACTTGAACACACTTCTTATGCTCCACATACTCAAACACTTATGACATTCTAATACGTGGAAGGTACTCTTTGAATTTTAAAAACAGTATGTGTGATTGATTTCATGTGCGTGGTGTGTGTACAAACGGTCTTTTATGAGACTATAAGATTGTTGCACATGTGTGGCCAAGACTAAATAAACGAATCACTCTATGAGACAACTCGTTTGAGTTATTTAAAAGATAAGTTCAAAATCAAAGAATCGTTCATGGACGAACCACGACTAGTTTACACTTTTTTAACATGACAGTTATTGGAGTAACTTTTCTAAAAATATAAAGCATAACGTAAATTTGTAAAATAATCGACGATGGCATTAGTCAAACTAATTGTTAATAAAGGTTATCGGGTAATTTGTTAACAGTTTACATCCCTAGTTCATAGTTACCGATGCGTTGAGCCATGAGCTCAAATCTGTCAGAACCAAAGAAGACCTGTCTTTCCGTTCACATCACACACGATGAATGGAAGGCCAAAGGACTGAAAAAAGAGGAAAAAGTGAAAATAACTGTGAAAACAATTTTTATCATTTATTTACCACTATGAAAAGACAAAGGGTTTAAAAACACAAGTAAAAGGCACTGACTCGATAGTCCAGTGCTTCTTGTGTGACACTCATCAGCTTGTCTTTGATTTGCTGAGATTGGGAAAGGATCAGAATTTCTTCCACCTCATTGGCTGAGAGACCTGCCTTTAATCCTGCCTGTGCAAAACAGAAAGGCAAGCCTATAGTTAACACACTATTTTATCAAACAGTAGTTTGTTTTATTGTCTTTCCTACTGGTTTACTATAGCTAGATATGCCAGTTTTCACCTTGGTGCTAAAATGAAATTTTTTCATATGCATAATGGAATGGAGTAATAATTTAAAGATTATCACGTAAATGTTAGTGATTGTTTTCTCATTTAGTTTGATTTAATTTCTTAATCTTGGGTATAGGATACCTCAATTAATGAGGCAGGCTGGGTAATGTCCTGATGAGTGCTCCAGACATTCTTCCAGAGCTCTCTAGACACCCTTTCCACCAGCACGCCTCCTTCTTTTTCTTTCTCAGCAACAGCTGTCACAAAACGCATCGCATTCAAAGTGCCTTAGTTGGAAAGAAAGGGAGAAAAATAGATTAATTTTGATTAACCTAAATAACCAATGTTTACATAAAAATGAAAAATACCTGAAATTTTGTCATTTATTTTTAAATAAACAGAAAGAAAGACAGATTATTCTTCATTAAATTCCAAAAACAAAAACAAAGTTTAGCACTACTTACATGCCCTTGTAAGGGACCTCACTGGCAGGGAAAAATCATTTCCAAAAAGTTTATAATAAAAATGACTTTATAATTATAATTATAAATATAGCTGCAAGCAGCAATCACGGGGCCAAGCACTCCAGAGGCAAATTGAGGAGCTAAGCATGGCATGGAGCATCAGACCAAATGCGACAATGAGTAATAAAAGCAATTTTAGGATGACTGAAATTGAAATGGCTGTAAAATCATACATACAACCACTAGTAATATGATTAAATGGCTTATCACTTTTGACCAAAAGGTGGCGCTGTAATCAAATCATTTTGCTGTGTTCTGTGTGAGGTGACAATGGCACACACAAAGTTTGTTGTCATTATGTCAAAGCTTTGCATAGATATAGCCTTAGAGTCATTTTGGCACCATGTCTAAAATTTGTAGTGGCACTGTACAAAAACAGTTTCGTTTATCGACACGAAATCCATAACCCTTTGTCAGCACAGTCTGAAGATCATCTGACTCGATTTTGGTGAAAATCGGACCAACGAGTGGCAGAGGAGTTAAAAAAAGTAGGTTTTCAACATAAATCAAAATGGCGGTCAGGAAGTTCAGCTTACTCTGGCATATTTGGTATCTTGTTGTAGGCATATGCCAAGGAATATTTTGATATCAGTTTCATCGCAATAGGCTAATGCAATCAAAAGTTATTAGCATTTTTATGAATGTAATTATTGATGGTTAATGAATGGTTTATTACTCTTGACCAATAGGTGGCGCTGTTACCAAATTGATGTGGCTTGTTCAGTGTGAGGTGACAATGGCACAAACAAAGTTTGGTGTCAATATGTCAAATATTTGCAGAGATACAGCCTCAGATGCAGTTTGGCACTATGCCTAAAATTTGTAGTGGCAC